AGTTCCATATAGCTGCCTTTAGTATTAGCTGCCTCTGTCTCCGCCAGTATCATGTTAAAGGAAGCTAGTGACTACAAGCAAAAGATTTACATGAAGTGCCTTATTAAAAGGTTCCATAAAGTGGAGAGGGGGTTGGGGGGCAAGGCAGACAGGAGGGCTCTTGCAAAGCTTACCTACTTACAATTTCCAGAATCTTTTGACCATCATATGTGAAAGGTGCTATATAAATGCAGAGCATTATTTATCATTATTTTATGGCTTTGCCGATGGTTTAGTCCTTATACAGGCTTAATTGTAGGGTGACCATATGTCCTGTTTTAGCTGGGACAATCCTGGATTTCAGAAGCTGGTCCTGGCCGGCTGTTGGGAATTATAATGGGTATCCTGGAAGCAGAGAGACAAGGGCACAGTTTGGCCAGGAGTAAGTGCAGTGTGGAGTACCTTGCAGGCAGGCATGCACCACTGCCTACCTGGCACATAGCCCTGCCCCTGCTGACTAGTGAGAGCACAGAGTGGGAGGGTGGGGGCAGTGTCCTGGATTTCCAGGATTTCCATATGGTCAGCCTACTAACTTGTGAGTCTGCCCAATAGATCACCTGCCCCACACTATATGTGATGTTTTGTGACATGAGGCACTGTCCTGTTACTGAGAGGAAATCAGAGTGACCACAGTGTTCTCTTCTCAGCCAATTAGATCCATGTAGTCCACCTACTGCATTAGCTGTACACCAGACACTCCCACTGACTTCAATGAGAACTTTGGATGTGCAGGGTGTACCATGCCATGCATCTTTTAAAAATCACTTCACTAACATGATTGGATGAATTAGAACATGTCCTCTATCTAAACTATGCTGGTGAACAGCTGAATTTATTCCCAACTAAGCCAGGATTTGGGGGGGGGGGTGGTACTTTAGCACTTCTTGAGCAGTAGCATGCACAAGTGATGTTAGCTCAGAAAAAAGGTTATGGGGTAAAGAAGTGAAGTCATGGGTCAGTTTTTTTTCAAGTATGACAGACCTGCCAGAGTTTCACCCTGTGAACTATTTGAGCATTTTGCATAGAATTCCCCCATGGGGAGACAGGATACCTCTGTATGTAGGAAGGGCACAGTGCTGAGGTCCAGGTTGTAGTTCAAGCTCTGCTTCTGATTTGTGGTATGACTTTCTTGGTCAAGTCATTTAATATACCCCTATCTGGAAGAGACCCAAGTTCAAGTCCTGGTTCTACTACTGACCTGCTTGGTGACACTGAGTCAGTTTACCTCATACCTCTGTTTCTCTGCCTTGGTGCTCTAAATTGTAAGCTCTCTATGGCAGAAGGTGCCTCTTACTATGCTTTCATATAGCACCTAGTACAGTGCTGCTCAGATCTTGCACAAATCCTGGAGGTGCTTTCATTGAATGAATGATAATGCTGCTGCTAAGTCTTTAACTCATCCAGTAACTACAGTATTCATTAAAAAATTAAAGCAAGGCAAGCCCACTATGCTCCAGGGTAGTATCTGCACAGCAATCAAGTGTTTTGATTGACAAATACACAATTACATTTATTGTGCAGGTAATTAAACAGTAAATTAGTCAAACAGTTAACCTAACAGGAAAGAAGAGAGATTAGGATCAACTTAAACAGTGGAATATGAAATGATTTTTAGGAGCATTTACCTTTATAATCATGTTATGACATGTAGCAGGCCTAGCTGATCATTTCTACACAAGACATTTATAATGCACTTTAAAAATAATTGACAGCTTCTCTTTTGTCTGTGCTTCATGCCAGCTAATGGAAATTGATTTAAATAAAAAATAATTTACATGTTCTTATAAGATTCCATTGAATTTATAAGAGCTGGAGCACACCACATTAATTATTGCTATGTCGTTGCAGCAAGCTAGCGAGAAATTAGATATAAAACTGAGCAAAAACTATATATAATTACCATTAAAATGACTCAGGCATGAAAATTAATCAAATGGAGTTGGACAAACATTATTATTCTTGTCAACAATGGGAGACCAGGTCTTATTACTGACTTTTATTTTGATCCCCTTGTCCCTTCCTGAATTAGGCTGTATATTCAGTACACATAGGCTAAGGAAATTCTTTTTTGTTAAAGTATTCATTAGAGACTGTACAGAATTATCAAAAGCAAATGCTGCCTTTAATTGTGAGTCCAGCAGATTGCCTGGGTGCATAAGGGGGCGCAGAACTTGAAACCTCTTTTTAAAGATAGGAACCACTGTACAAAATCAAACCTCTGATCCAGCTAGTCCAACTCAAGCTGCTTGAGGGGAAGGAACCTTTGAGTGTGCAGTTATGGGATCACCTCTCTTCAATAGTGAGAGATTGGGTCAAGCCCTAAAGCATGAGCTTATCTCTTCCCATAAATTATCTTAATATTTAATATGAAAAATATTAATATTCTTACTATACATTTGAAATGTCTTATCCATCTTTAAATACTGACAAGTTTTAGCTTCAGTGATATCATGTAGCTGTGAATTCCACAGAGCAAAAACATCCCAACCTGCAAAGTAGGGCATTGAGCATTCCATGTTCTCATTGATCGTGTTTCTCATATTGATTCTTTTCTTTACTGGGGGACTGCTCCATGCAGACAAAAGAGCTGGAGATAGCACTGACCTCTCCAGTCCCTCACCACTTCTAATGAAATACAACCCTGTAGGTCCAATAAGTTGCATTAGAATAAGTGGACTTGCATCCAAGGTGAATTTATAGAAAAGATACTACAATGTGCACCCTCTGGAACACATATTTTCAACAATGTACATAATAATGTTACTCCATACAGCTAAGCTGGTTTGTAGCTTTTGAGGGAATTTTGGTTTTGAATTGGAAGTTTTACGTCCTTTGTTCTGTGGCCGCTGTGAGCAGGTCAGTGTAAAGAGTAGTGCTGGAAGGGACCTCCTGGGTCATCGAATCCTGTCACCTAAAATTGTAGGCAACTGTGTCAGACAAAAACAATTAAAACAAAAACAATTAATTTGCCAAGTTCCATCTTAAAACCAGTTAGGTTTCTTACCCTGACTTATCCTGTTGTGAGGCTATTCCAAAAGATTTCTTTAACTGTGGTAGGAAACCTTTGACTCTTCAGCCAAAATTCTTTCATGCCTATTTGTTCTTGTGTCAGCATTGCCCTTGCCTGCTGTTTACCCCACTGGTGTATGTATAGAGAGCAGTCACCTCCCACCTCAGCCTTTGGTTCTTATTAGCTAAACGTAACACACATCTAGCTTTCCTTCATTACCTCATCTAGTTCATCAGCCACAAAAATCACTCCTCATCAGTCTACTTAGCTTTCCAGGAAAGCTGGGAAGGTTCATCTGCTGAACTGGAAGCTAATGCCATGAAGAAGGATTTATCCATGTAGGTTCCTTTCAAGGCTTTTAATTCATGGAAGCAAAAAGAGGGAGTATGGTTTGGTGATTAAGAAACAGTATGGACTCAACAGATCAAGGTTTAATTTCTGCCTCTGCCCAAGAATCCCCATGTGGCTTTATCATCAAATCTCTCTGTACTAGGTTAATAACAATGCTACTTTCTCCCCTGTCTTTGTCTAGACTCTTGATTTTCTAAACTCTGTCTCACTATGGGCATTTATACACATGCTCTGGGAGGGGGGTGGGGATGGTTGAAGCACTTTAATTAGACCATCATATATATCAGCATCCAACTGAAAAATGGCAGTGGGTGTGCTTTAACTAATGCTCATTGAACTAACTTTAGTTAAAGTGCCCCCACCACCATTTTTCAGCATGAGGACACTGATACACATGATCCTGGAGTCCGCTGGAGTGTGGTAATTACCACGTTCCAGCAGACTTGATTAATCAAGTTTGCTCCAATGCGTTGTAAATACAGTGTGTTGGAACAGTCTTGATATACATGTATAGGCATCTGAATATCTCCTAAAGACTTATGGCCAGGTACAGGCACTGTGCCTCTTCAAAGGGAGGCTAGAGTCTTCCAAAGGAGGCTAGACAGCCACCTATCTTGGGTCATTTGACCCCAGCATCCTTTCCTGCTCATGGCAGGGGGTCAGACTACATGATCTACTTAGGTCCCTTCCAACCCTACCAACTATGAAACTATGCTTTTACCCATGTAAGTGATTGGAAACCAGTCTATACCCATAACAGAAAAGAAGCTCGGTGCACACAGGCTGATTTAAAAATTGTGGACCCGAATCTAACATTTTCCCTCCCCACCACACACACCAGAGGGTGACTGTGTGTTCTGTTCCCTACCAACCTAAATTATGCTGCTTACCGAAAACTGCATAACTTAGATTGATTCCACCTCAGGCTTTTTGAATGTCTGTACCTAGCTTATGGGCATCTTTACGTATTCTGTGGGGTGGGGTGGGGTGGGGAGCACTTTAATTAAAGTGGCTCTTGGGAGCTACTGTAATGAAAGCACCCAAGGTGTCTCATGTATTGAGCATCCTGCACTTCAAAATAGTGGCAGGGACACTTTAACTAAAGTCTGTTGAATAAGCTTTAGTTAAAGGGCTGCCATTGCCATTTTGAAGTGCAGGGACACTGAATACACAAGATGCTGAGGCTGCTGGAGCAGGCATCAGGCACACATGTAGGTGCCCTATATGTCTGGAGCAGGGCTGGGCAAAATGTGCCCACGGGCCACATCAGGCCCGCAGCAGATTCCGTTTCCCAGCAGCCTCTGTCCACATTGATGTGGCCGGTTTCTATGGAGACCCCAGAAGCAGTGGTGCTGTGACAGTGCAGGGTCACAGTTTGAAATGGAGTCTGTCATGGGCTTGCTTTTCCATTTTGCCCACCCCTGGTCTAGGTTCACTTATGGTAGAGTTGGAGTTCAACCTCTCTTGCATAGGTCCACTTAGATCTATGCCCAATAGGTGGAAGAGAATCTGTTCCTATATGTCCACTTTAAGAAACAGAGTGGACAGTCTATGTTTCTTAATGAATTACTGATAATAAATCAGTCATAATTTTTTCCAGGTAAACCAGTAATGATAGTAACTGAGTACATGGAGAATGGCTCTTTGGATACATTTTTGAAGGTAAGACTTAAAGTGCCTATATATTGTTCTTCCTGAGTAATTCTATAGAACACATGCAGCCATAAATGCCCAAAGGTCTTGTTCCAAGCTCACAGTAGAGACAGGAATAGCATAGTTGTCTTGTTTCCCTGTGTTTGTACAGCACTTAACTCAATTATGTTCTGGTCCTTGCCTGAGATTCCTAAGTAATACCGCAAAACAAATACGTAATAATGATAAACTGGGAAGTACTCTTTCATCTTTCAGCAAAGACTGGCTTTGGGTGGGAATCGTTTGCTTGCTCACAATGCTGTCTGAAATTTCAAAAAAGTTCCTATTCATCATGATGAAACCAAGGCTTTCAACATTCTGTATGAAGAACGAGATAGAGAGAGAGACAGATAGACAGACTCCCCTCTTCCTCAAATAGCCAATAGCCAGGTAGTCAGAGCACTCACTAGAATAAGGGATACCCATTTCAGTCTCTGTAGTTCCTGATTCACCCCAGAAACTTAAATCTGGATTTCCCATGTCTCAAGGGTATGTCTTGACCACAGGTCTGTAGTCTCTCTCTCTTGAGTATGCCTCTGCTGTAACACAGTGAATATTAAATTGTTTATACAATTTGAAACAGTTCCAGTGGGAGCTACTGAGAGACAGACTGATTACGTAGGCTAGTGGTTAGAGCAGTTTGTCAGGTGTAAGAGACTCAAAGGCAAATATCTGCTCTGAATCAGGAACAGTAGACACTTGAGTGTAGGTTCCCATGTCCTGAATAAGCTCCTTGGCCAGTGGGCTGATGGCGATCAAGGGGAAGGCCACATTCATTTTGGCTGTAAATTCTATCTCAGACTTTCCAGATAATAGTTTTATTGAAACTGGTATGTCTCCAGCAAAAAAAAAAAAATGCCTGTTTTGACAAATCAGCATTATTCAGCAAAACACTGTTTCTTTAGAAAATTCCCATCTACCACTAGTAAGGAGCTACACACTGGGAGTGTCTACATGTGCAGTTAATGCACCTTAAGGTTACTGTGTATTAAAATAAGGCTCAGTTAATGGCCCACAGGAACACATCTACACAGAAGCAGTTTTGTCCAGGACTGCTTCTGCCCCTCTGTCCTGCTCTGCCCCCCTGCAGCAGCCAGGAGGAGCTCCAGGCTGTCACAGAGCTCAGGGCTCAGGATCACAGCCAGAGCTCAGGATCGCAGCCTGGCTCAGCAGTGCTGGTTTGGGGCAGTGCCCTGTGGCTGAGCAGCAGCAGTGCCCTGAACTCTCCCCTTGCATTGCTTCCTGCGGGGGACAGGGGAGCTCTCTGTCCCCAATCCTGGCACTGCTCAGGAGCCAGGAGCTGAGAAGCACCACAGTGGGGGAGCTCTCTGTCCCTGCAGTGCTGGGCCAGGGATAGAGAGCTTTCCCATCCCCTCAGCCCTGGTAGTGCCCATGCATCTCATGCTCCAGTCAGCTCCTGCTCTCTGCTCGTGCCTTGGGGTAGCCAGGAGCTGAGCAGTGCTGGGACTGGGGACAGGGAGCGCCCCCACCCCCAAAGCAAGCAACATGAGGGGAGAGCTCAGGGTACTGCTACTGCTACTGCATGGCCATGGGGAATTGCCCCAAAGCAGCACTGCTGATCTGGACTGTGATCTTGAGCTGTGCATGGGAGCCACGGACAGTTCTCCCTGCCTCCTGTGGCCCCCTGCTATCTAGGATGTCTGTGAGCAAACTTCTCCCAGTCATCATCTACATGTGTGCTACTGCACAGTAGCTAATGTGCGGTTACTCTAGTACCTGTATTACTTGGTACTAGCAAACTGCACAGTAAGTCCCATGCACATGTAGACAGCGATGCATTACTGCACATTAGTGTAATGCACAGTAAAGCATCTTGTGTAGACGTACCCACTGAGAAACACAGGTTTATGCCTCCCTTTTGTCACAAAAATCTCCAAATGGGCCAAATTCAGTAAAAAATGATGGGTATTTTGATGGTATTTTTTCGACAAGCCATGATTAGGTCATTTGAACAAAACACCCATCAGCTTTTTGGATGCAATCTCTACACACTTGTTGTCTGTTGCCTTGGCTTTAAGGGTTAATCATCTGTAGGATTTTTACATACACAAATATGTATATACACTGTGAGCAATCCATTATTCAGTCATCATCCCAAACATGTAACTCCCTGGTGCTGACTTAAAGGAGCACTTTTTTCTTAGCTTTGTCTCTAGGGAGAACTATTCCAAAGAGGGAAGCCTTCAGAAGTCTCTTGGTCACAGTGCTGTGGCAATTAATTGTTAATTGCTCTTTTCCTTCACATGGTACTTGCTATTGAAATGTTATTTATGCATGGACGTAACTCCAGGTGCTACAAACTCTGATTGATTGAAACTTTCCATTATCTTTGCAGAAGAATGACGCGCAGTTCACAGTAATTCAACTAGTTGGAATGCTGAGGGGAATTGCATCTGGGATGAAATATCTGTCTGACATGGGCTATGTACACAGAGACCTTGCTGCCAGAAATATCCTAATCAACAGTAACTTAGTCTGCAAAGTATCTGACTTCGGACTGTCCCGAGTCCTAGAAGATGACCCTGAAGCAGCCTATACCACAAGGGTATGTTGTCAGGTTGCTGAAATGATAAACTAAGGGAAATTATGGAGACTGCAGGTGGGATTATCAGAAGCTGGGACTGGATTTTCAAGAGGGCTCAGCACCTACTTGCAGCCATTTAATTTATGTGCCCATACAACTAGTAAATTTAGGACCATTTGAGTGCCAACCTCTCTTGCATGTGTTGCTCAGTGTTATCAATGAAACAAAGCTGTCTGCCCATGACAGTGAGTTGGGAGCAAGTCAGTCTGATGCCTCCAATCTAGGCAGATTTCAGTTAAGCGATTATTTTTGGAACAGAAAATGTACCCATTTAGGGGAATAAATTGAGCTTGGCCTCAGCGCAAAAGAGAAAGTGTATTGCAGCTGAGATTAAAAGAAAAAAAAGCAATAACATAGCAGTCTGGCCACTTATATCTGTATATTGGCACCTAGTTATAAATGGCTTGATGTTTAGGAGTGCTGAGTACCCAGCTGCTCCCACTGTCTGCAGGGAGTGCTGCTGAATTCTTCACTCATGCAGAAAAAAGGGTTACTTATTTAGGTATCTAAATGGAGACTTAGAAACCTAAAATTAAGCTCCTTTTTAATGCAGTTTGACATTTAAAGAAAAGTGATACACAACCAACTGCATACCCAGTGAGTGCATTTACACAAGATGCTTTACAGCATATTAGATTAATTTAATGCACAGAAAAGCATCACTATCTACCTGTGCACATCAATTACTGTGCATAAAATTAGTCTAATGCACCATTTGCTAGTACCAATACATATGGGTAGTAGAAAAATGGTGCATTACCTAATGCACCAAAGCGCATGTGTAGAACCTGACCAGGAGCAAATTGCTCCCAGTCAGCTCAGGGAGCAGGGGGCCACTGCTGCCTGGCTAAGCCCTGATCTTAATGTGGGGGGGAGTTATTCTGGCAACAGGGCAGTTCCCTCCCAGCCCTGATCTCTGCAGGGCACGAAGAGCTGTCCCAACTGTGGGAGCAGCTGCCTCCAAGCCAGCTGGAGATTGGGACCAGTCCTGATCTCCACATGGCTGGGAAGCAGCTGCCAGATCTAGGACAGCTTTTGCTGCCCTGCAAAGATTGGGACTGCCCCTGTGTCTCCCACCCACCTAGGGCTGGCACTTGGTGGAGCCTGGAGCTCCTTCTGACTGCTGCAGAGGGGCAGATCAGGGCAAGAACAGCACTGAACTGAACTGCTCCTGTCAGGAGCAGATGCATGCCTGAGTGCAGTTTAATGCACCCGATTTTTCTGCGCAGAAAATTCAGGCGCATGAATTGCATGTGTAGATGCACCCAGTGAGTTACTAAAAGGGAGTAATTAAACCTATTCAGTTTACTCCTTTCTTCCAAGGGAAGAATCTAAGTTGGTTTCTGTAATTAAAACATGGACAAGTCCTAGGTGCAGTAAACTCGTAGATCTCCAGTAAGACTGATGGCTAGGAGTTTTCCGCAGCCCACATTTGAGGGGCTGGGAGAAGAATAACTCATTAACACAGAAGCTGTTCCAAGCAGTCAGCTAACCCTGAGGGAACCAAGGCAGCCAATATCAAAAACAGGTCTGTCAGACCACCCAGAGGAATGCCTAAAAAAGTCACACAGACAGATTAGGGCCCCTAGAAGCTTTCCACAAAATGTGAACTATATTACGATAGACATGAAAATATTAAGATATACTATGAAAAAGTATATGACAAGCATTGTAAAAATGAAGACCTTTTCTAATAGTTACAGTGGATGGAACATCTTTCATTTAAGTTCATCCTCTATTTACAGACAAAAATAAAGCATTGTAATGGATGTAACATAAATTCATTCTTTCCTGAGCAGTTCTATCTAGCAGCTTATTGTGACCCTATGACAGTGTTCTAGACACAGACACTTCGAATCCTAATCCTACGAAGAGCTGTGTGGGCTCCGGTGTCTAACCGCATTGCCACATTAGAACCCAACTATTGTACATGTAGGAGGTTAGGACCCAGAATTGAAGCTAGAGTAATAAGCTGCAATGTGCCAATTGACACTGACTGAGAATCTGGTTCCCTCTATCTAAAGGTTTGAAGTAATAATGCCCCATTGAAGAATAATTTTAAAAATGAGGATTTTTTTTGGTACTATACTCCAATGTTTGGTGTTTGTTTTTTTTAATTAAAAAGGATCACCTGAGATGCTATGCCCTTCCTCCTATTGATCTCACCCCTCATGAGGGGTTAGGAACATCAAAGGAGGGGTATATTTTTTGATATACTGGTAACTGAAGGGAAACATTTCTTTAAAACCTATTTAAGAGATCTATTTAGTGATGGTAGGTTAAATTATGTATTTATATAGGATGGTTTGTATAGGAATGACCCTGCCTCCCCCAGGGGGTTAAACTATATGACCTACGGATGTCCCTTCCAGCCCTACGTCTCTGTGAGTCTATGATTCTGTGATTGTTTCTCTTAAAAAGGAACTATAATTGACATAAAATTTAGAATCTAAAAACTGGAGAAAGAAAAAGGGGAAAAATGTAAGTGTGCTAAATATATCTAGAGTGGTGCTGGGCAGGCAAGAAATATTATGCCAAACCAAACTGAAAAAAAACAAACCCCATCACAAACAAGGATACTGCAAGGGAGAAAGATTTGGTGATGTTTTTTGTAAATAGCCTGATCACTATGCATCTTTCATAGGCATCAGCCTCTAACTTCACAAGTGTCAGTGATTCACCCTCATGCAGCTAGTTGCAGGACAGGATTGGGGCCTAATTCAAACCACCTTCCACCCACCCTGCAATTTGCATGAGGTTCACATTAAATCAAAGTCACCCCCAGATTCGGAGACGTTTGTTCCTCCCCCATTTGCTTTCAGAGACTACAGGAAGTTTATTCCCCTACCAGCCAGTGCAGCATAATTGAGACATTGATCCTATACGTGTTCTAGCATTCAAACAGAATTTAAACAACAAACCTTCAGGACAGTCAATTAGTAGTCAGCCTACACATGCTTATGGGCCAGGAGAATGCGGAAAGGGGCCTCATGCTGTCAAACAGATTTACTTTAAAATTCTACATCTCTTTCCAGCGCCGTTCAAGAGAGGAAACAAAACCCCTTGGCACTCTAAGAACCGCTGTTTCTTCCTCTCCCCCAACATCCCTTTCTGCTTTTTCATCCTAGGGAGGCAAGATCCCAATCCGATGGACTGCACCAGAAGCCATCGCCTTCCGCAAGTTCACCTCAGCCAGTGATGTCTGGAGCTATGGGATAGTGATGTGGGAAGTCATGTCTTATGGAGAGAGACCTTACTGGGAGATGACCAATCAAGATGTAAGTGCTTTGCAAAAGCCACTACCAGACAAGACTGTTTTCTCATCAGAAAGACAGAACTGGCATGAGGCTTTCAGTCTGAAAAGGACAGCTGCTGGAAAACCCCCAGTGAAGTGATTTTGCTTTCCCTCTGAAATTCCTATTGTTCAATGCCCTTTTATGTAGCAGCTCAAAACAGATTTTGCACAAAGGGAAGTATGTCTGTACAGAGTAGTCCAGCTCCCTTGGCAGACTGCTGCAGCTCTCCAAAGGCTGCTAGAACCAGAGCTCATATGCATTACATTTTAAGACAAAGGTCTATCCAAGGGTATATACTGATTAGTGATATAATTTCAGCTACACTGACAAACTCTTGCAGTCCAGTAAAGCTTAAGCTTAGGGAGACATCCCCTTCAGTAAGTGCTTGCCTCCTTGAGTGAAAAGGGGGCATTTTAGTAGAGCAATTTGGGCCTGCTGATCTAGGCTGTAATCCTGGCTTGGCTAACAACCTTAAGAAAATTTCTTCACCTCCCACCCTTTTTGACTGCCTTGAAATGTATAAACGCTAAATGAGGGCAGTCTCTCACAATGCATGTGTCAAGTTCTTAGCACAATAGCATCTTGGTCCAGGGCCTAGGGCTTTAAATACTGCTACAATGCCAGGGTCAGTAATGGAGCAGATACTTGATCTTGAAGAGGACTAAGCTGTGCTCAGAACCCTGGAAAATGAAGCCTTAAATTAATGTGCCATTAAAGTGGTGTGTTTTCATTGTTGTGGGATGCTGCTGCAGCTATAGATGTAGCCTGGCAGTTTTATTCTGTCACTGCAGCACCACTTTTCTGTCACTGCAGTGCTAGAACATTGACAGACCATTATCTCCAGTGCTTCTATCCATGGCATATTGCAGGTTGCTCCTGGTTTGTCTGCCATTGTGCTTTAATGTTTTTTAGGAATCTCTGGGTACGTGGTTGCTTGTCTATGCTAGGACCTGGACTCTGTGGCTCAGGATTCCCTTCCCAGTTCTATGTTCCACCCAGGGCTGAGGCAATATTCTGTGTAGGAGCTACCCTGTCATCCTACGATGAGATGTCGTCCAGTGACTTCAGGGCACACTCCTGATAATGCCCTTTGGAAACTCTTTTCTGTCTAGTCCTTATTCTCCCTAGACTGTATGCAGTGCAGGAGCTAAGTTTCCAAGGAAGCTGTACAGCAGGTTCTACAGTACAGAGGAAGGTCTTATGTCCCTTGTGACACAGGATAGGGACAGTCTCACAGAGACCTGCTGGTATCCTTGTCACTGCCACCTCCCTCCTGCTGCCTCTCTGTAGTGCTGACACCCTGCAGGGAATCTTTGGTTAGGGTGGGAAAAAGCTAAACTCCCTTTCTCAATGGTCACTGCTTCTTTCTAGCCCATCAGGGGGAGCATAAAATAAAATAAAAAACTAATAACCAGTCCTAGCTGCTTGACTTTAGTCATGATTTGACGAGGACAACTTCTTTTGAGACCTCACCCATATTTTATCTCTCATCTTTTAATGTGCCTGAATTTTCTTTGCAGAAAATTCAGGGGCATTAAACTGTGCCCTCACACACATGTGAATATGCACCTGTCAGGAGCAAATTTGCTCCCAGTGGGAGCAGTTCAATCCGGGCCTGCTCTTGTCCTGTTCTGCCCCACCTGCAGCAGCCAGGGGGAACTCCAGGCTCCACTGGGTACCAGTCCCACACAGGGGTTGGTCCCAATCTCCACAGGGTGGGGAAGAGCTGTCCCAGCAGCCAGGACTGCTGCATCCCAGCAATGTGGAGATCAGATCCAGACCTAATATCCACATGTCTGGGAGAGCTGTCCACTGCATCCCAGCCAGAACAGCTCTCCTGGCCATGTGGAGATCAGAACAGGTCCTGATCCCCATATGGCAGACAGCTGCAGCCGGCACAGCTTCCCCCAGCATTGGGGCTTAGCGAGGCAGCAGCAGGGCCCCAGTGAGCATGTAATCACCTGCCCCTAGGAGTATTATGTCACATTTCCCCTCCTTCCCATTCAGCTGTCCCAAAGAAGCCACCCACAATATCTCTCTATCACAGATAGAAAAGAATGCTGCTTGCCAGGCAGGCAGCCCTGTTGTTTTGTAGACTCAGAGCAACAATGCCCCATAATCCCTCCATCCCAGATGCTATCACATTCAAAGGGAGTTTAGTAACCATGAGAATACTGCATGCATCTACCCAGGAGATTATCACAATTTAATGTAGAAACTTTTTTCCATGCCCAGTGCAAAGGATGCAGCAGTTTGGGCCCTGGCTTTTCTCTTCTGCCATTGAATTTAGCAATTGTAACCATCTTTAATATAAATGCACTGGAATGACACAGATGTTGTTCAATAAAAGCCAGACTACAAACTATGATTCAGGCTGGTGAGAGCGAGATAACACTCCGCTGCCAGAGGAATCCCTCTTGTTGACAGTAAGCACTAAAATAATTGGCATTTTTATATCTGTTAATAAAAAAAAGAAGAAAAACCAGAAAAACTTGAATTTAGCTATATCCCATTGTGCAGTGAGTGAACTTCACAAACACATCTTTAAAAAGCTGTGCATAGCTGTGGCTTTTTACAACATGTAGATTAAAGAATTAATAAGAGTTTTTTTTCTGTTGAAATTAGCATTGGTTCCTGACCAGGTTTTGATTTGATTATCTCTGTGGCTGTACTGCATATACTTGGCAGTAGCTTGGATTATAGGAAGCTAGGAAATTTAACTCAGGGGTCTGGTACATGAAAATTCCTAGAGAGTTTTTCATCTCCCCTCCTCTGTATTCTCAACTCCCACCCCCGTTGGCAAGAGTCATAAATTGCTTCCATTGCTTGTGGACGTTATGTGGTAAACCACTGTGCTCTGGTTGCATGAATTTCAGTCCCTCATCAAAGAGTTCCTTTTATTCTTATGTGCTGTGTGACCTATAATTACAGCCACTTAAAATACACTGTTTAGAAATAGTCTTTGGCTAGCAAAACTGTCCGTATTATTACATATCCAGATTGCTTTCATCCATGTCAAGGTAGACCCAGGGTGGCAGTCATGATTACTCAGAAGATTATAAATCAAGTTTTTAAATCAAGACTAGATGGAGTTCTAAAAATATGCTCTGGCACAACCACGAGAGCATGGTTTGCTGGAGGAATTGGATGAAATTGTATGTCCTGCCTCATGCAAGTTAGTGGACTAATGGTGGGTTTAAAATCTACGATACTGTGGAAATGTAAGGCCAAGTATATTGCTATTGTAGGTATAAATCAGCCCAATATACCGTCTACTAGCCCTAAGCCAACCGGCATAACCCCATAAACAAAGGGCCTGGGAGGGGATAGGTCCACAAACCTTCTGCTAGCCTACAATTTGACTCATCAGCTGTTCAAAAACACATGCACCGGGTGAACAAAATTGTACAGTGCAGTAATTTGTTCCTTGTGGTTGATGCCAGTGACTTATGTTTTTGCCCTTATTCCCATTACTGCTGGATCCCCAAAACATTTGCAGATAAAAAAAAAAAGATGTTTCAGCATCATAGCATCTCAAAGTATTTTGATGCCATTTGCCAGAGTGGACAACATCCTGTAAATTGAATTAACCTTATTGATTGCATTGTTATTGCCAGGAATATAAAGCATGTATAACTTCATTGCAGAGGTAGTTCAAATAGTCAATGCTGATGCCAGCTTGTCTGCTAGACATCTTGATGCTGGAGGGATTGTCCCTCCACATTATAAATATGCATGAAAATACAGCATGTAAGATTCACATACTCCTTTGTTCCTGTTGCATAGTTTTTTATACAATGACTGCAAATCTGGGTTCACATTAAAACTGGAAACAATACTAAAACATTAGACAAAGCAGGTGATAAAGTACACCTTAGCTTATCATGCTATGAGGAAAACGATTGCTGCAGAACAAAGTCGTGATTGAATTCTGGTCCAAATCAGGTAGAAGGTCATACATCTGCTCCAGCTGTCATTGACATTGCTAAGAGTCTTCCCATTGACATCAGTAGTCTTTGGTTCAGGCGTCACGTTAGCACAAAAGAGCTGCATGACCTCAACAGTAAGGCTGGATTTTCAGATATGCTCAATACCAGAAGCAGCTGTTCAGAGTAATATGATGCACCATGTAATTTTCTTCACTACTAAATGTGTCCTTTCAAGTTTTTAAAGCCCCACACCACTCCTGGGCCAGTACTTTCCACTTCTGGGCTCAGACTTCAGGGTGAAGTGTGGACTGGAATGATATGTGCTGGAAAGTTGGGTTTTCAGCCTGGAATTCCATTGTCTTCTGAATAACATTACCCCAAGGCAGGATGAAAACAAAAATGAATGGCTTATTGACCAATAAATGTATGAATC